CACCTCCTCCTCCTCCTCCTCCTCCCCCCATTCCTCCTCCCCCTGCTCCTCCTCCTCCGGCTGCTTCTCCTCCGTCGAGGCCCTCTTGGACCCCGGATCCTCCTTCGTCTTTCGCTGTCCGCGACGCGAGCGCAAGTCGGCCATGTCGCGTTGGGGACCAGACCGCGGTGGCCGCCTCCGGCGGGTGGCGCTGCTATGCGCGTCGCCTGGGCAACGGCCGCGCCGTCCGCGAGCCCGCGGCTGGAAGCGGCAGGACCGCAGCGCGGTGGCGCGGCGGTGACACGGCGGTGACCCCAAGCGGTCCTTCGCGCCCGCCGCGGTGGCCTCCATACTTCATTTTATTTTGCGGAGGGTGGCGGAGGTGGCGTCCGCCGGGGGCGCGCATGAGGCCCCGGGTGTCGCCTGCTGCGTGGGTTGCCCAGTAGCCAGATGCAGGGGGGAAGGTCCAGTGAAACCCTGCTCACAAGACAGGGGCCGGCCCTCGGGCTGCAGTTTGCKCTTTGGATATTTTAAAATAGTGCCTGAAATATTAGGTTGATTGGTGAGATTTTTGGCGTCCCTTATATTTTGCAGAGAACTTCTCGTGCTTACKGCCTGTGCCTATCCATCCTGGCGGTGGAGAAGGCCCCAGGCGGCTGGACAGCCAGCACCACCTTGGCCTCAGCGTCCCCGGGTGTAAACTGGGAACACTGATGTGCCCAGGATGCCTGTGGCTATTAAGGGATGCAGAGTGGTCTGTGACCTTCAGCCTTTCCGCCGGAGCCCTGAGAACACAGGTGCAGCCCTGGGGGTGCTGGAGACTTTGTGCGGAGGACTTAGGCTTTGAGGGAGGTTTGGGAGTCCTCTAAGGCTGCAGGACTCTGCCCCAAAGCAGGCACATCCAGAATGTGCCATTTAGTGGGCGCAGTTTGTATTTAGGTAAAACTACAAAGGGTCTGTRTTTTGTTTCCTTTTATCATGGCATAAGGGTAGCCTTGTCTGCGCTGTGACTCCTTAAGCAGGCTCCTGTGCCACAGAACAAATGGGCTGCTTGCGGGATGCCAGCAGTCTGCTATGACACCACGATGCCCAGCCCCAGCTGTGACAACACGTGGGGCTTCCAGCCAGGGCCTTCCCACCCAGGGGATGGGGCGCTAAGAAAGCTATTGAGGGATAGGGACGTCAGGTGTCTGGTGCTCTGAGCAATGTCAAGCCTTACCAGGCCCTGCCCTGATCCAGGCCTCCAGGTCCTTGGAATGAATGGCCTGGAAAGCCACCCCTGTCCCCACTAAGGGCGGGCACCTAAGCATCTGGTAGGAGCCCAGAAAGCCATCAGCTGCAAGGCAGGACCAGGCAGGTGAGGGGCACCAGCTGCCCTGCGCTCCAAGGGCAGAGGGAAAACACATAATATTTGTGAAAKACGAGGCCTTTCATCTAGTGGGGCAGTTGGGACGTTTGGGAAGGAGGGGGACCTGGGTGACTGCAGAGTGGGACGCCCAGGGAGCAGGGTGCCCAGGGTGCAGGGGGGCAGGTGGGAGTTGAGAAACAGAAAGGCAAGGCCCGCCTGTTCTGTTCTGTACCAGCACTGGGAGTGCTGGGGTGGAGCCTGCCTCGCCTGCCCCACTCCCCACCTCCCCCGGCCCCACCCCCACCTCCCTCCACCCCCCCACCCCCACCTCTCTCCACCCCCCCACCCCCACCTGGTGCTGGCAGATCTTCAAGGTCACGGAATGCAGCCACCCCTTCCACACAGAGCAAGTGACTTGCTCAGAAGGCACGYATTTCTGTTCCCTGGGTGCCCTGAGAGCAGGCTGGAGGTCAGGTGTCCGAATGGGCTGGAGAGAGCGTGGGTAGTATCAGCTGCCCTCCCTGGCTGGGCCCTGTAACTGCCACAGCATTTTCTTGATTGCATGGTGCATTGAATTTTTCAAGTACTCTTTGTTTAGAGCTGTTGTTCAGATCTTTAAAGTCTTAGGGGATCTTTTTCCCTTGGGCCCACGTAATCCACAAAGAACTGTCTTATTTCCCCATAGGAGGCAGTGCTCTCCTGTTTTGGCCATTCTGAGACAGTGCTCTGCAAAGCAGGGCCACTTTGTATCCCCCGGGGATTTGAGAGCCAGACCCACCCTTGACTCCCAATATCACTGAGATTATTAAATCTCAGCTCCTTGATATGTAAAATGAAGTATCAGTCATCACCTTTCCATTTACTCCACAGGGATATTTTGAGATAAAATTTAATTATTATTTTAAGTTTCTTTTTGAGAACTGATCATGTATTTTTTTAGGAACACTTAATTCTGTTTAGAAAATACCATCAGCTGAGAAACCAGCCTCTACCTCACAGCAAAGCCTGTCCAAGGAAGGAGGCGTGACCCTTGTCCTTGGAAAACCCCACAGAGCCTTTCTAGGCAGATAACCACCCTGCTGAGTTGTGTGTCTGCAAATAACAGGAGAGGTCTGTGGCACCAAGTGTCCCTGACTCARGCTAGGTGAAGACCCATTGCAACCCCCTAGCAACCACCAATCAGCATGAGACAGGGAAAATACCTGGGATGCCAAATACCCCCCAGTAGTTTATGGTGGTTGATAACATGTTGGAAAACCATGTAGTTTAGCACGTACACCCCTCGTGGCCTAAACCAATCAGTTCAAAGGAATCCCCCTCTTGTATTAACTAATCACCCCTACCCAACTTGTTCCCACCAGTGAATGTGCTGATCAATGTTAAGAGTTTGTTTGACTTTCTCAGGGTATGGAGTGATTTGCTGTGTGATGTTGTGAYGTATAGAGTATCCCCCCAAAACCTATAAAATCTCACTGGACAAAGGACYGGGACTCACTCCCTGGGACCGCTGCGTYGGAAATGGTTGTGAGTCCAGGCTCGAGCTTGCAATAAAGACTCTTGTGTGATTGCATAGGATTTGGCTCCTGGAGGTCTATTGGGGTCCCACGAATCTGGCATTACACAGCTTCTATAATCTGTAAAATAATGTCTTGGGTGCTTCAGACATTTCCTGAAGGAAAGGAGGGAGCTGGATTTTTTTTTAAAGACAGTTTTCCTACCGTAAGCATAAAGCATTATGTAATGGTCTCTACGCATCATGTGCTGTTTACCATGCTCCCTTAAGGTTCCCAAGATCCCACTGCTTTGGCAAAGTAAGAGGGTGAATTTTTGTTCAGTGCAAATGTCTTACATTTGCAGAATGTTCTGGAAGCTTTCTGGCAGTTGCCTGAGGCATGTCCCTGCAGGAAGCACAGGGTGTCCTCTGAGTACTTTTCCATCAATGGAGCTCCGTGGCCTTGATGATCCCTAATTAAGGCTGTGCCTGGCTGGGCCAGCTGTAGGGGGCATCTTCCTAAAGTCAGGCCCCCCCTCCTCACAGCTCCTTGCAGAGGTTGCTTTCCAAAACCCATTTATGCCTCTTAGTTAGTAGTGACATCCACTTTATCTTCGTCCTCAAATCTTTTTGTGAGACTGTCAGAGGGTTGGTGGGGAAAGGTGGTGGGRCACAGTCTCCTTCCTCAAGGCCAAGGCCCTGGTCTTCCTGCTCCCTCTCCCTGACTTCACAGCCTCTCCCTCGCCCCWTTGGCCGACCCCTTTCCATCTCTAAGCCCAACCTGTGTGTCACCTCTGGATGGTTCTGCAGTTACACAGGTAATGTCCTTTATTCTGGAGGAGATCCACACTGCAGGACTCTCCCCCTCCCCCCAGGACTTTGCATTCGTTGGATTCGGCACATGGAGTTTGTTCACCTGAAAGATGACCCCTGAGCGAGTGCTGTCCAGCAGGCACTGTTCCTGGCTCAGGGGAGACAGCAGAAAACCAGGTCCCTGCCTTGTGGGGTCAGAAGGTCCTAAGAGCTAAGGAGGAAAAAGGTGATTGTGAGAGAAGGTGCAGAGCCCTGGGCAGAGGGGTTCTGTAGAGGGCTGCTGCAGACCTCCCTAGGAGGCTAAYGTGAGAGCCAGCCCTGAAGGAAGGGGGAGCTGGCTTCCAAGTGCTGGCAGAGTGTCCTTGGACAGAGGAGCCTGCGCTGACCCAGGGGCAGTGCTGAGTGCAGTGGACTGAGACTGCTCCCGAGACAGCCCTGGGAAAGGCTGGTGTGACCCTCAGCTGGCCTCTGCCAGCTTCAGCTGGTCTGTGAGACTCCTGCCTGCAGCAAGCCCCTCAGGAGAGGGTGGGAGCAAAGGCCTCACAGTGAGGGGCCTGGTAGAAGGTTCTGGGCACACAGGTCCAAAGTGCAGCCCCCAGGGCTCTTGGGAGTACAGAGACTGAGAAGGTAGGCCCCTGCCCTGRGGAGCAGAGGGGAAGGGAGAGAGGGCCAGTAACCACCAGGAGATGTCCTGGAGCTTGGTGATATGACAGCCGGTGGGGAATGAGAAAAGGAGAGTCAGAGGACAGAGACAGGTGGGAGGCTGCTCTCCCCGCCATGGCAGGAAGGACTTAGCTGTTACCAGTATTACCTGGTGAGATCACTTCCAGCCCAGAGTCCCTGTCATCAAGCAGTAACACAGACTCACTTAAGTTATGTTAATTTTTCATTTGGTTAAAAAGTTCTTCAACAAATGATTGCTTCCATGTGTTAGACTTGGGGAGATTCCAGGAATGAGACCAACAAGGCTTATCTTCTCTATTTTGGAAGGAGCTCAAGGAAGGGGTTAGTCTTCACGACGGAGGTGCTGTTGGAGCCCCCGAGTTTGGCCTCACGTTTTACTTTAGCAGTGTGTTAAAGCAGTAGCAGGAGCCCAGCTTATCCCCACCTCAGGTCTGGGGCTCTGGCCATACCTCAGAGCTGTGCAGATTCCGCTGGGAGGGTTCCTCCTCAGGCGGAGCTCAACACAAACGTCACCTCTTCATAGGAAGCTGCCTTCAGCTCTCCACAGTTTTTCAGTTTTTCTCCAATGCTCCTTCGGAGCTCCAAGAGGAATCAGTGTTGCTGACAAGCTGACCTTAGCCGCAGAAGACTCAGATTTCTGACCACAGAAAGGGGAACTGTCGAGGGAGTGTATTAGTCACCTCAGGCTGCTATAACAAAATGCCACAGACTGTATGGCTTAAAGAACATTGATTTCCTCTCAGTTCTAGAGGCTACAAGTTCATAATCAAGGAGCCAGCAAATTTGGATTTAGATCAGGGCCCTAAGGATCCCATTGAATCTCAATTACTTCCTTAGAAATAATACAGCCACACCAGGAGCTGGAGCTTCAATATCAAAGTTTTGGAGGGGCTAAAAAGCATTCAGCCCAAGACACAGGAGTCAGGGTTTCAAGTGCATCCTGTGCTAAATGGGAACAGCTGAGGCCTGAGGGAGGGCTGCTGGGTCTTGGTGACTAGGCTGTAGATGCAGAAG